GGCACACCCAATCATTATCTATACCAACCCTCAATTTCTAGCTTTTATTGTTACGAGTGAAATCCAGTCAGTCTCTCCATTACCAGAGAGTGACAACAGCTAGAAACGTACATGTACCACTCAAAAACGTGTGTTCAGATCGCCTTGGTGATTAATTTATAAATTGCCGAAACTTCCAGGAAATGTTTTAAATGTACATGTAGTATAGCTAAACCACTGTGTGCTACTAATGGAATACCAAACAAATTGCGATAAAAATGAACCAAACATATGATGCAGCTCTAAAAGTAAAGGTAAAATTAAAGGTAGCAATACAAATCTGACTTCACTGCTAAAGGGTGTAGTTCTGGATGTTTGTCTAAACTGCCAGATACACGCACTCATTATACAATCAAAATTGTATGATACAACTCTTTGGAACGATTGGATAATACTCAGAGTCCGTTGGCTGGTGGTGCATTTTCATCTGTATGATTGATCACTATGATGCAGCGGATATGCATTTAGTGCCTGATACAGCACTGTCGCGAGTTTTTCTGGCAGTCTCCCCAGTGACATTTCTCACAGCGGACGTGGTCGTGGTTCTTAAGTCGTCTCGCGACGTTACCTGGGGCCTGTCCTGGCAACTGCCCGTCATACTCCACCAGGTCTTCATATCTTAAATGCAAATTATTATATAATAAGCACAGATCGTGATTTAATTTCTGCGACTTTAAATTCATCGATGACGTCGTCCCAAAATTATATTGACCCATGACTTCATATCTTTTTTTTTTTTTTTTTTTTTTGCCAAACAGAGAAAAGGGAACATGCCATCCATAAGATATGGATAATGGATAAACAGATAGAGATACACTGCGCTTGAAAATGTTTCAGAATTTTTTTTTCTGAATACTGTGTTCTAAAACGCAAATTATCTTTCCCAATTCAGACTTTAAAAACGTTTTATCTCCTCTAATAAAAGGACCTGGTGGCGATATTTCCTTTTGAAATGCACAGCCAGATACTGCAGCCTAATCGCCTGCTCAAGTATTTGCAGATCCATCAGTTAAAGTGGCATTAAACATCGAATCTGCGTTTTGGGACGGGTCGAGCAGTGATTCATTAGGAAGTTGATTTTTTTTTCTCGGGGAGAACTCGATTTGGCACGAAAATTCCAAACAGAGTATCTTAGACATTTAAAATAAATAGATATTCTGATCAACAGATGAAATAAATATAGAAGAAAAGTGTTAAATACAGCATTAAAAAAAACAACAACAACAATTTCCAAGAAAACATTAAGTACCTGTTTAGAACTAAGTGTATCATTTCCTCCAGACCACTTCTGGAAAACCTGGGAACAGCCTCGCCACCACAGACTTTATGCTTCTGTTTCCACCTTACAGAATTGGAAGGAAAAAAACTTATTAAAATAGTACATGTAAAACATTGGGGCACAATATTTTAGCAAACGGACCTTGCGTCCAATATTTGCATGTTTCTCTCTCTTTTATGGCGATGCCACTTTCAGCAATGGAATGAACGTATTTAAATCTAACGGAATACCTGTACCGGTAGGTATTAATTGAATAGCCTGGGAAGGAGAGAGAGAGAGAGAGAGAGAGAGAGAGAGAGAGAGAGTTGATAACATAAATTAGAGAGCATGTGTTGAAAACAAAGTATCTACCTTTTGTAGATGCGTTGACGCGAGAGATCGATCCCTATCCAGCACATGTTAGACGTCCACCGATCCCCGCATTCCTTACACGTGAAAATTCCATAACCAGGTACGTTTTGAAAACGATACATAAGATCTATATCATATGGATCAAGGTTTCTCTCGTGCATCTTTTCTTTTACAATTTGAGCCATGTCGATATCCAATAAAGTAACATTTGATGCAAAATTCAAAATCCTTCCCACTGGAACCTCAATAATTTGTCAGAGTGCCAACAACGATAGCGTGCAATTTTTACTGTACCTGCAAGTTTTGATTGCACAATAATACCTACACTGTACGTATGTTGTTTTGTGCTCTCCACAATTGGCATGTTTTTTCGGCGTGCGCAGATTTGCACAAGAGTAATCCCTATCAACAGCATCCATTGTTGTAGAAAGAATTAAAATATAAAAAGCAGTGTAATGTACAATCTACGCCTCTTTTAAAGCTTTGTTCTTACTATAAGCTCGAAGCACAATGTGTACCCCTGCAGTCGGTCATACGTCCACTTTGCACTGGCATTGATCCAAAACTAGTAGACCAGAGCTTAGATATTAAAATTCGTTCATTATGGCGGAATGCATGCACTACCTAGTTCATTTTAACTGTGAAACTGTCACTTAACTTTGTCAAATTGTATCAAACATAAAATGGTCAATAACAAGTGACTCGGCGAATGAGGTGTTTACCCAGATGGCTACTTTATTGGTACCTGTATTTGTGGGTGCATGCTCAGACGATTTTAAGAGATACATGTATAAGGTCAACTTATAATAATCGATGCTCATTGTGGTATAGGGCGCAGCGTTTACTTGGTTGACCCTTGTTCTCACACCGCCTCACACAGGTCTCCGGGAAGCAGAAGATTTTATCATTTACCTGTAAAAAATATAAAAGATAAGCAATCAACAGACTTTAGGAATATATATTCTAAAGATTTGATTCCAGAGGAGTCAGAACTTAGTCGAAAAAATTCTTTTAGATGTGCGAATGAGAAGGTGGAGTACCAAAGCCATCTCTCAAAACTATACACAAAATACCCTGATCATGGTGCGCGTGGCGCTCACACACGCACACAAACACACACGTACATGTGCATTGACATAAATGTATGTGCCTGCCGGCTACTATTATTACTCTTCTATCTTGAAGTTTGGAAAACACGTAAACAGCAAGCATGCACCCTTTATCGGTCTTCAAGCTATAAGCTTACTCTTAAAAGTTAATATCTGGAATATTCTTAATGCACTCACCTTTCCATCAGTAATTTCTGTTCAGTGGAGATATCAGTCTCAAAAATTCAGATGTCTGCTATTTTCAACATTATAAGCCCGAGGGGGTGGGGGTTGGGGTTGGGTGGGGTGGGGATTAACGGGTGGAAAGAGCCGTCCTTTTGGCCGGAAAAGTATGGATCTGATTTATAATCAGTTACACTTCTGATAACCACTTCTGATATTACTTTGATAAATGATTTACAATTTATACCCCCCCTCCAAAAAATTGTCACCCTAATGCAATGCGTAAAGTGATTAACAAAATAAAACCATGTCGTGTAGGTCAATGTTCAACTACTCACACCCCCAATTTACACTATGATCGACTGCCTAGTTGCTATGTAATAGTAAGATAAAAACTATGGGTACCCTTGTCGCAATGACCATAATTGCGATAGGGGTGACACTTATTTTGGTAGGTGAGTAGGGCCTATGTATCTGTGCACAGATCTTTTTTTTTTTTTTTTTTGCCATAGATCATCTTATATATGATATCTGGAATAAAAAAAGCTATTTATAACGGTTTACAGCTGTGATGTGACCATAAAATAAACTGGAGATGTAACAACCTTTTTAAAAATGTATACACAGTACAGTGTTGTTCTCCATTTCACCCCGCATCAACGAAAACATCATGGTTGTATCTTAAATTGTGAACAAAGTACGTTAAAAAGCAAATCGTCATCCTTGCCCAAAATTCAAAGGGAAGTAAGCACGGAACCCAAGCGACACTGCCAAGTGGGCTTGCCTGAATAACAATTACAATCTTGTGATACAATATGTCATTCATTGAAATAAACTACATCATCGTTTTAAAACATGATTTAAATATAGGATAAATATATGAACACAAATGAAGAGTTAAAACTTCACGTTTGGTCAGAAGGAAGGCTTTCCCCGCCCTGAATACCACAACACACAAACCATAAGGCGGCTCTGTCAATGTACCATAAATATATAATTACCGAGTAGTGAAAATTTTCATAAAGGAAAACCTAATCCGTTCGACCAAGCGCGTTTATTTCCGTCTTCCAGGTCTTATTGTGTCAATAAAGTAAGACTTATAAACTAGCTTGGAATCGGAACCACTGTTAAGGAGGCAGACACTAAGGGGTCCTTATGAAATGGCCACTCAACTCTACCAGTGAACACAGATTCCCCTATTCATACCATCCCTAAAATGAAGGAGACATGGGTAGGATAAGACTTTAGGAAACTATTCTTTGTAAAATTTACAAAAGAAAAATTGCCAGGTACTAGATTGATAAGTGTACCTCTACCTGTACAAGGATCACAGATCGATGTTTTCGCTACATATTTACAGATATTTTTTTTAATTTCAAAGTAGTTCTCTATTGTGACTCTGTGATGAAAGCTTAGCGATAGTAACAGGGTTGGTCACTGTTTACCTAACTACTCAGGCAATGGCATTTGACAAGTCCCTGGCAAAACCCTGAAAGGTCCCTCTGACATCAGTCACGACAACTGAAGGGGTAATTGCTCTGAGTTTGCTTGCTGTACTGTGGGATTTGACACGTGCAAAGTTTTTGGAAATCCCTCCTAACCACGTGACACTTTTGTCAGACAATCCCAGGCGCTACGCGGATTTTCTTGGTGTATGAAGACAAATTAAATGAATAACTTGCGGGCAGCAGTGTTTGGTTCCATTGGTACATGTAATTCGTGATAAAGCTCCAATAAGAATAAGTTGCCCACCTACAACCGACGCCATTACTTGACTGTTTGAGAGAATTACGTGAAGCTGAGAAGGATTGAGAGCACTATAGTCCGACAGTGTACAAATCCTAACTACCGAAATAAGGAAACGATTATAGGCAGCATGTTTTATACATGATATATTATTATTATTATTATTATTATTATTATTATTATTATTGTAAAGGGTTTACTGTGTAGAAAGGCAGTATTGATAATACTTCATCGATGCTGCTCTTCGTATCATTAGTCCAACTAAACCTGTTAACCGGATATAGTGACACTGTTACTTATAAGTAGTATTTTGATGTCTCTGGTGGTTTATACGTATCCTGGTCCACGTAACAGTGAGATGGTTTAATGCACTTTTGCTACCGGTAAAAGATGAATTCGATCGTGACTTTGCTGGTAAGTTTTTCTCTCTGCTTCTCTTTTGTCTCTCTCTTTCTCTCTCACTGCTAACGCGCTACTGATCCGTGGAAGTATATATACCGGTAGATACATAATTTAAAGTTGTCAGTAGTTGTTTATTGTCCGTGACATTTGTACAAGTTCAAAATACAAGCTCAAAATAGCGTGCTATAATCTTGCAGTATACATCAAAGCAGAAAAACGCAAAATTACATACTTATAGAGTGTGAGGGAAGATAACTCCTAAACACGTTTTTTCATGTAGAATTTTCTTTTAAGACAATTTTATCACTTATCTTTTCAACGATGGCACTGCGATATCTGATTAGTTATATATCATAGACGTGTCTACAACGCTATCTTGTAACTTCTCTCCCTCAGTAGGACAACCACGTACGCATAAATAAATACAAAGACATAAAATCAAAAATTGTTTCATTACATAATATATAAACCATATATTTCAGTTTTTTGTCTCGTGTGTGAGCACCAGCGCAATCCCCTCTGTGGTCTTAAGGCCAGAGGTCAAGTTGATAAACACCAGCTGGACGGTCTACGCTTGCCCGTCAGATGGCGCTGCCGACGACCAGACGACAGCTTTCGTCCTGCCCGATGGAAACGGTTACGTAAGACCCAATGACGTCGTGATCAGCAAACAGGCAGGAGGGATGATGCACAAGATTTCTCACTCTGCATCACTTGGTGAGTCCAGACAAGGAAGTAGATATAGGACGACCATGGTCCAGAAAACATGATTTATTGCTGTAGTGTATATCCTATTTTTTTCTTTTTTGAAAGTTTGCCATCTCTTTTTCCAACGTTAAGATCTACCATCCACTGCCTTCTAATCAAAAAGAGGAATAAAGATTTTCAAAAGAAATAAGTGGGCAGGTGTAGGGTTTTCTAAGCACAATGTTGTGCAGAAAATAAATTGTGAATCGGACATTTTCTATACTCTTTATTGTCTTTCACACAAAATTTTAGGTCAATAACACGCTTTGGCTTTCAATAATCATGAAGAAAGTTTCGAGTCATGGTGAATTTCATGGAACATCTTCGCAGATTGTGTATAATCAATATGTAACACGTCCCTGTATGAAGTGATGTTCAAATAAATACAAGCTTATAGACTCGAATACCATAAGTTTGGATACGTATCTAGATCTAGAGTACACGTTAGAACGCTACAGTGCACAAAAAGAGAAATACACATGTATATCAATTAACTTGAAATTTCGGCTATTTTTTTGAATCGTTAAGAATAGTACATGTAACAGTTTAAACCAATATACCCTCCGTAATATAAGTTTTAATGGTAAAAATCCTGTCGTCTGACGGGTAACGGGTGAAGTCAGGGAATTCAGAAAACTTTGCAATTTGGTAACGCACTATCAGTATCTTATATGAAAACTAAGAACCTATACTGGTTTTCAGCTGTTTGCGCGTTACATATACCGCCTATTCATCTGGTTGCAGCTAAATTACACCCTGTGAATTTGACATGTCTTAGCTCCAGGTCAATTTTGAAATATAAATGCTTTAAAGACATCCTATGAATAATAAGTTGTTTCAGAGTTTTGGCCACCCAGGTCGGCTCACGTACTCGGGATTCACGTAACAGACATAAAGGACGCTCAAAAGTTTTAACAGCAACACTTTTTAAATTTTTTCAATGTAATCACATATCAAGCTTATGACTAGTGGGAAATTAGTAGTCGTGCACGTCCTTTGTTATTCAGTTTTGCCACCAGGCCGTGACATGTTTATACCATTTCCTGTTTGACGGAGTTGGTTATGCACGGGTGTACCGGTGTCACCTGAAGAAACCGTCGTCGTGAATAAACCGTTCTGACGGATTATTCACGCGGGGGTAGCAGTCTGTTGACTTACAGTACGTAGCTGCACATACATTTCCAACATTTCCACGTAGAGAAAGTTGTAGTTTTATCAAACACACAATTTCTTTTTAATGAAAATGACTGAACTCTGAATTGAAAGAACATTGTAGAGTGAAAACATTTATACTACGAGTCTTAGATCTACCACGTTTTTCACACAGAGCAAAACAGTTCAGTCACAATCAAAAGCTCACTTCCAACATTCCCCCGTATACTGTAGTAATAAGATTATCAAATTCATACTCTCTCATGACGAAAACCACTGAATTATGAATTGAAAGATCATAGTTCAGTGCAAACATAGCGCCTACTTAGGACGACATCGTCATACCGGAAGTTACTTCTTTCAATCTACCCTCAATGCGCATGTGCAGAACGGTTTCGTCACGGCACGGGTCTATCACGCTACACCGGTTTGGGCGAGTCATTACGAAGCACTCATTTCGGATGACTCCTTGGGCACGTTTTTGAAAGACTTTCCCACGTCGTTAGAGCAACAAAGTAGTTTTTTGACTACACTATTTCGGATATAATTATCTCTGAAGTAGATTTATCACTTGCCTGTCGTAACACTGTTATTAATGCGAACAAGGATCTGAAACGAATTTACGAATGACTTATTTTGAAAGAGGTCCTTGTCATCTCGACCAAGACTGTAATTTGTTGTCACATGAATACACATTTGTGGTCATATACTCACATAAACAAACATGTTTTGGAAGATCAGGGTTACAAAGATATTGTAATTTATGGGTTGGAGGAAACAGACCGGATTATGTGGTATGGGAACGTTCATACCTGGCTCGGAGAGACCGAAAGTGGTTCGGTCTGAATGCCGCCGAGGACATTGGTGTGAAGACGGTGTTTTTCCTTAACTCAATACAAAATGACACAAACTTTGAATGATTTGGAACACTGGGATTGTTAACGTAGCCACAGTTCAGGTGCAAAACGGGAGTTCGGTCAAAATTGCAACGATCGGCGACACCATTTTAACTGACTCGAAATCGGTTTGCTGTGACCTAGTGTGAACGAGACTAATATCCCTGATATTGTTTTACCTAGATGGATTAAGATATTCGTACAAACGCTGTAAACGCCGATGACATAATTTTTAAATTAAGATTTGACACAGTTGACATGCGAAATATTTCAATATTATAATATTATAAAATATTTCAAAACTGCTCTTAGTGTATCAACGTTAATTTCCTGGGACTTTGCAGTTGAGAAAAGAGATCGAGTGAGTTCCATAATAAAGCTCAATAGGGTGTTATACGAAAGAATACTAAAGTGCTTTATGATACGTGAGAATGCAGGTACCAGGGTACATATTACATGAACGCATTCGCATTAGGGAAGGTTATGGGGACTATTGTACGCTTCAGTGACCAACTACTAGTAGTAATTGAATTAACCATCTCTCTCTCTCTCTCTCTCTCTCTCTCTCTCTCTCTCTCTTTATTTTGTTGCTTGTTTCATTACGTAATTCTTGTATGGTGTTATGATTTCAGGGACATACGGCGTATTTTTAGGAAAGATTGCAGAACTTGATGACGTGTTTGAACAAGTGAAGATATCTGAACCGTCCCAAGAAACAGAAGAGATCGAAAGACCAGAGTCCCAAGAGAGCGTTCCTGATTCGAACTTGATTAAAACTCTTACCTCACGGAATGGTTTGGTCTCTGGTAACACCACAGTTGTTAAACTGAAAGGTGTGGTTGACCTTGTTGATATATTATATTATATTATATTATATTATATTATATTATATTATATTATATTATATTATATTATATGAAAATGCAAATAATCCTCTAACTTACTGCTACGCGTGTAACTGTTTTTCATTCAAGTTGGCACAAACGTTTACATGTTGTTATCAAAATTAGACATTCTTTATCTGAATGTGTGTTTGTACCTATTTTAAATATTTCTATTCTTAGGTAGAAGTAAAGTTTGGAAATGCGCAGGGCATGTGTACCAGGGCGAAAACGAGACGTCGCACGTGACTTTTTACTTGGTGATTCCGCGAAGAGAGAGTGACCACATCAATGTAGATGACGTATTGGTGGGCAGTTCTAGCGGCGGTTTTCTGGAAAAAGTGACAGAAATTGTGTCCATCCCTTCCCCGTGGAGAACGAAGTTCGTCCACACCGAATTATTGTTATGTGGAAACCTAGAAGACTCATCAGATGTATTTCGGTACGAATTTTTATTGCTATGCCTGTGTATACTCTTCGTTCTGGTCGGTATATTTGACGGTATACGGGATAGCCTATATGTACGTTCCCACCGAGTTGTCTTGAGCTGTAATATTTTATTGACTTTGGCGGCAACCCATGAGCTTATCTATGGAAATAACACCTCTGCCAAGTCCTGTAATTGCCACATGTAACACCCAAATATTTTTCTGGAGTTTATTCCTAAGTTTGTTATATTATATGACCATAAATATGCATATAAATATGCCAAATAATTGTTTGCAGCACTGGTAAACCTATTTTGATATAACTTTATTTAGGATTAATGAAATTCGGAGAGGCTTACAATATACCTCTTGCGTTGGTGGAGATGGAATCCCAGGCCTTCAAATGTTCCAGAGACGGACTCCACGCTCGGTATCAGTTGGTAGCGTTATACCTGGGAGACCCTCCCAAGAATTTGCTGCAAAGGTAGACCTTTGCTTTAGGTGCTGTACCTTATAACTCTGGCATAAGGGGATTTCGTTTTAACTCTGGACGGTAGCCTGTAAATGTTGTCACATCTGTCATTTGTGATTCTATCTATTTCTAAATACAAAAGCGTTACATTTTTCCTGCATGTTAGGGAGCATGCCTAAAATTTTTTTTTTTTTGCCGCGGAAGGACTGATAAAACGATTTTTTCGGCAATCTCCACAAAGATTTGTACTTTCAGTCTTTAACTCTTTCATGTTCCCAATTTGCGAAAACCTAAGCGTTGTTAAAACTAAAGTCACTGTCTTGTTTGCCTGTTGCCTGTACAGTACGTTTAAACTTATGATTAATATACAATAATATGTATTATTCTGATTTTTTTAAAAATATGACCTCGCTTTACATACAGATATATTTATTTGGTTTCACTAAGGTACTCCGAAGTTTCCAGAAAGATGGCTACAACTTCTTTGAAGTTTCTCCTGTGGAATCCATTGAAGGCGGGGAGGTGACTGTGGCGAGCACGGGTATCACGACAGATAGACATGCAAGACAGAAGAGAACGACATTCACAGCGGGAAAAAGATTCAAGGCAACGTTTCCAGTAACCCTAGGGAAAGTTAAGGTAAGCACGCATGCGCTTTAAGTTTCACGAAAATTGTTAACAAGTTGATGGAAGTACATATTGCAGCATAGGTAAAATGAGAGTACGATTCCAGTTCAATTTAAAGTAAAATAAATCAAAAACTTTTCTTTTATCGGATAAAGCAGTAGGCGCTCTTTGTCATTTGATATTAACATTAAAAAAAGTACATATTCAACGATAAATTGCACATTTTGCAAAGTATTCTATCCTATGCACTTCCTTTCTTGCCGACACATGGTAATTATTTTAGTTCTTTTATTTAGAGTATCTGGTGTTATCATTATCAACGGTTTTTCGTCCAGGCAAAGATTGCATAGGTGCTGATTTCTCCTTTGTGGCGCTGATTTTTTTATGACGTCCCATCTAATGTAATACTGAGTGTTACTTTCTTTTAATTTCCAAATGTATTTAGATAACTTTCTACAGCATATTTTTTTCCCTAAATGACTTAGTGTGATTATTATATCTCAAATTAAATTGCCCACCACAAAGGCCTGTTGAGCACTCTGTACCACACTCAATCTTGTTATATATATATATATATATAGAGAGAGAGAGAGAGAGAGAGAGAGAGAGAGAGAGAGGGTTTGTTCGGGAATCCAAAGCAATTACAATGCACAAGTTAAGTAACATAAATACGAGATAAATTACACCCCGATGAACAAGGTGATGACATTTATTGCAGATTATCAGCATTCTTCTTGCTTTTGATAGTGGTGATTTTGTCTTCGTTATTTGTCTATTTCAATGACTAATATAATGCGCAAACAATGTCTTGTGTTGAACGGATCTCTTACATAGATGGTATGCGAGTCCAAAAAACAGGAAGAATTAACCATAAATATCAGTTTGGTCTTGGCCCTGAGCCTTTCTTGCGACTTTGGCGTACTCTGTAAAACTTCCAAATTTGACAACACATCCAGGAGATGCTATGTCGTCAATTCCATATACATCCCCATGGCTACCAATAGAAACCACGCAGATTGTCCATCCTGGAAATAATTATGAATAATGGATTGATAAATAATGGTGACAGAAACTAAAAATTATCCAAACAAACAAACAAAAAATTGATATATATATATATATATATATATATTTCACTTCATTCTTTTTAGATGGTAAATATGAATTAGAACTATGGGCCTGTTTCAAGGGTCACATCAATTATGGTCTGATCAGATAAGAGCATTGATATACATGTATATATACAGACATGACATTTAATATGGAATGTTTTTCCAATTCATCTTTTCATGCTTAGCTTATCACAGTAACGTTTAAAGTTTTTGTGGTGATCTCTTAAATCAGGTACGGAAAAGGTCAACTACAGAATTGGTCACAGGGCCTTCACAAAACGATTGGCATGCGACATTTTAAATTATGTGCGAAACGATACCTTAGTCGGCTTAAAGTAACGGAAGTCTTTACTTAGACTGAATATAGATTTGATCGTTTTGACTCTTCACTCTACACTCTTCAGGGATATACTAACCTTGTTTTTTAATACTTGTTGCTCTTGGTCGCGGATCGCCCAGGTTAGACATCGTGTCAGTAAGTAGCCATATTAGCTTCGAGTTTTCTTCCAAGAAAAAATCTTCAAACATGAGCTGCGCAGTCTCTAAAGCCAGTTTTATGTTCGTAGCTCCCTCTTGAAAAGAGACAAAAATGATTTTGTAATAATGTATGTGTGTATTTGTGTGTGCGTTTGAGAGAGAGAGAGAGAGAGAGAGAGATCGTATGCGCGTTTGTATGTTTACGGAAGAGAAGGAGAGAGTTAAGAAAGAGAGAGAGAGAAGATATTGTCTTACTTCTATTGTCAATCGCGTCAATGTAAGCTTTAACGGTGGCCAAATCAGTGTGTTCATTCAGCTCGAACTCTCTCTCCACATCAGTGGCAAACGTCAATGCACCAACCCGGGTTCCATCGGGGGCAATAGGACAATGCCTATCGATGAATTCAGCAATCATCTGAGAAATAAAAGCGTGGCTTCCATACATTCAATGCTGCGATGATGGCATATTAATAATGCAAAAAACCAAACATATTAATCTTTTGGTGTCAAACCAAATACAGGTACATTCATTTTGACAGATCATATGAAGTGGCTCTATCACGCTTTGTAAACTGTGCATCATAACGCACACATAGAATAAGATTGGGTTCTCATACCTAGATCGATCTAACTGGATCGATCCATCTCCAATGAGTTTCTTGCTAAATCGCTTACAGCTTAAGCGGCTAAGATGTCTGGCACGCCTACTGAAGCTGCTGAACGTCAATTAATTAATCCTAGAAGCTTCAGTAGGCCTGACAGACATCTAAGCCGCCTAAGTTGACTGCAATTTAGCGAGAATCCCCTCGGAGATAGAACAATCTACAGTTAGTGCGATAGGGTCTTGGGATAGTCCGTAAGCCTGCCTAAGAAGAACCATTCTAATCCCACATTGACTATCTAATTGCGCGAAATATGATTACAATTAAACCACGCTGTATCAGATAAAAATGGGCTAATGCTCGCCAGATTTATTAATTTTATAACGTACGAATAAATAATTAAATTAGAAATAGCCCATGGTAAGATCACTGACGTGTGGGAGCGGGAGATGAATACCTATATCAGCACCCGGCCGTCAAAGCAAAAATAACTTTCTTTAGATGTTATTTACATCTTAAATTCAAAATAAAACTGTGTTCTTTGGAAAATTATTTTTACGTATTGAATTCAGCGTTATCAAAGGACCTCTTACCTTTGTTGCATATTTCTGCACCTTAAACTCAGTATCATAAATGCTCGAACTGCTGTCCAATACGAAGACAATATCAAGATCAGAGTTCTTACTGTTGGTTTGCTCGGTGGTACAGTGAGACACAATCTTCTTTAAAATGTCCGAGAGCTGGCTTGCCGTTGTTGATGTCCCTTTTTAAAAGTAAAATAAATTCTGGCAATACATGATCATTACAGTTACCATATATCTATATGTCCATTTTGTCATTATTTAGGAAAAACAGTAGATCCGGAAAAAGACATCAATGGCTACAACTTAGTACATGACTAAGTATATATAATTACTAAGTATATGTAATTGGGGTCAGCGTTTTTTTTAATGAAAATGTACTGATATAAATCTCAAAAAAGATCTGTTACACCGAAAAATACTGCAAAGCTGGGATATAGATATGATAGTCAAGGTACAAGGTTTATCATATTGAACGTTGTCCTATTCGTCGAAAATTTATGGAATACAATTATCAATAACTTACCATTACCCCGTGGAATAGAGTTAACCACACACCACTCGTTCAGCAACAGAGCAGCAGTCAGAATGAGTGCACAGAATCGCTTCATATCGGTTGCAGTGTTGGATCTGTATGGCGTTACTATTAACCGCGCTGTTTTATATAATACTGAGAACGGATGCGCCGCTGACACACCTATTGTATTGTTGTTGCCAATGGCCAATGTAATCGCCAAAGACGAATTTAATGGCAGTCTGGTACAAGATATATATGTGACATTTGTATGAATTGAGGGGAAATGTGTACGCTCACTGGACGCGTTTAAACATAGCTTCCTCAGGAATGACCTTGTGGTCCAAATGAAAACGTCAATGAATAACCTGTATCAAAACAAGTTGAAAAGCACGGAACAACTCCAACCAAATTCTAGAATTGCTTTCTTTCAAAATACAGAGGAATGTACGTATATAAACAAAAGTCCTTAAGAAAACGAGAGCTCCACACAGACTGTTGTAATGACAGTCTAAGTGCACCATTGGTCGACCGTAATGCCTTAACCTGCGCTCGTAAAATGTTTAATATCTGCAATGAACACGTACTTTGAGACATTAACGTAACAACTGGGCACTAAAATAAGACAACCATTACGCCGGCGCCTTATCAGAAAATGAACACGCATTGCTTTGAGGCATGTACAGACAAGAACAAGAGCTTGTCGCCTTGTTGCTATAAGTTTAACTGCAGCGCAGTATGTTGGGTTTTACATTTTGAAATGTGGCCATGCCAATTGACTACAAAAAGGCATTTTACAGACCGGTTCTTTACTCTCACATTGATTAAGACCTACAGCATTGGTCAAAAAGGGTTGTCCCATCCCCAATTCTATGTGCTTTTATTTAAAAACGATCACGTCATTGGTGTAAACTGTTCTAAACAATGCTTTTTATTACAGATACCATAACTTACAGGATTAATCGTTCTGAAAATACAAAATAGCGGTGAAATTATCTACATTTTATAGCATTAATTCACATTTAAAGTATGCACCACTCCAATCTGGTGTTTACTGTGATTTCCACAGAGACAAAGAAATGTCTGTTAATTAAATTAAAAAGACACCGCCTAATATCACCGAATTTACACAAAATAAACATTAGGATGTGCTCATTAAAGGCCACGTGTCTGACGTGTGTGTCTACCGCGTACTGCAATTACCTCCTGTAGGCGGCGCGACAAACCTTCACCAAGAGTAACAATCCTGTTTTGTGGGAAATTGTCCCACATTCTTTATAAAGAACTTGGCGAAGATGGTCCAGATTAGTTGGAGATTGGTTCTCCTCTGCATTGCATACTCCAATTCATGCCACAGGTGATCGGTAGGGTTAATATCAGGGTTCAAAGATGATATCCTCCGAATGAACGTTGTTTCTGCAACAAATCACTTGCCAGGCGAGAGCTGTGTGCAACTCACAGTGACACATGATTAGAGGGGCGCATACAGTACTCTTAATTTAAATAAATGTTATGAAAATATAGATATTTTCACCGCTATTTTATATTTTCTGAACGATTAATCAAGTAAGATTTTAACACACTTTTAACGCGCGTCCGCCCGACACGTTTTAAGGGATTTACAAGTGTTGATTATTCAGTCCATCATGTTGATGCGTCACTGATGATGCCATTCACATGGTCATGTGGTGATAATTGATAGTTAAAGGGATAATAACTATGAGATCTATATTTCACAATAAAAACACTGTGAACAACTCATAGAAATAAAATATATTCTGTTGTAAAAGAAAAACGGCAGTTATAGCTATTATTTTGATATCTGAGCTTGTCTTTAGACCACATGACCTCCATTGATGGCCATATACTCTGTTATAATCTCTTAAGAGATTACAACAAAAAAAAACTTTTTTAGAAAAAAAAAACAGAGACTAACTTTGAATGTAAAAATGGATTCATTAACCATTGTTAAGTACGGGAAAATTGTTGTTTACTCCAGGAAATTCATTTTTTGGCCAAAACGAAGAGTTATTATCCCTTTAAACCGTAAAAAGTATATCCAAAGGCCCCTGTGTAACCAAGAACACCATTCGCACAAACGCCACAGTACTTATGTCGCCCTCTGTACATACGTCCTTCACACGACAATTGGTTGTTTGCTTTTAATATATATATATATATATATATATATATATATATATATATATATATATATATATATATATATATATATATATATATATAATACTTTATCTCTCCAGGTCCCATGTGGCACCTTCACAGCCTCGGCGAAGGCAATTTTTAGGGCATATCCTCGAGTATCAATTACACTGAGGTGGAGCCGCCCATTCCTTCACAGGATCAAAGCATCCCTCGATTCCTCGGTGACATTAAGGGTGACTCTGAGACTGGACTTCAAATGCAGGTATGCGTCCACGCATTAATCAGTTTTTAATCGTGTTGGTTGTTTATATGATATGCCATTAGGCATCATTGCGTTCGAAAATGATATTGAATTAGATAATTAAATTTTACTAGCTTCACGAAGCCTTTTCTAGTTAACACTGCGCCTCCGCGTTTCGGAATTCGCTGGCTATGTTTATTTGAAAGTCTAGGGGAGTTTAGCGACTGAGACTATGCTGGCTGAAGATGACTGCATGAATGTGACTATAGCCTACCATTTTGAAAGAGGCTGCGGACATTTAGTTTGCGTCACACGTATTATAACATCAAGGCCTGTGTGTATCACAAAAAAAAAAAAAAAAAAAAAACGTATTATTTATCATAATCAAATGGCTGCGTATCATTTGGAACAGCTTTGAAAATAAACAAAGTGAAACATTACATAGAAAACCTTTGTGAGTTCAAAACTACCTTTGTGTACAGCTGTACCTTTTTTTACAAGTGCATAGCCAGTCCGGACAACATGTAGTCGATTTTGAGGGTGGGCTTCAATTTCTAGCTTTCCTCACATCGACTATAGCTTAACCTGAATGATATATTCTTTGGACAAGGACCCAGTTAGGACTGGTGTTGTTGCGTTTCAGGGTGTCATACACTGGCCCAAAGAAAGCTAAATTCAACCACCCTATTGACAACAGGCATCTGGTCTCTTTGTGCATCCCGATATGGGCTGGCATATGCATCCCTGTTGGTATTCTCGCTGATTTGAAGGTGAAATATGTATTGGAAGCACAGGTAGGTATTGGTAGCAAAACACGGAGAGTCGTGTCATGGTCATGAAACAGCCCATCAAATTTTGACTTCATTCTGATACCTTTCCATTTATGCTCATTCCTAATTTGGTTGAAATCGCCACGTTCGAAATCAAGTGCAGTCTCTTTCCATAATGAGTTTTTGTGTATTGCCTTGAAGTTAATTCATTCTTTGCAACGAGTGTCTTTAAATGTGAAAATTAAGACCACATAATGTTAATTATAAATACCCCTTACGAAAATTTTCTATCGGACATTAAACAGGACTGGATGGAACTCTATAGATATCTGATATGAAATTATGGGACTGTATAGAAATTCTATAATTTTATGGAAGTCCTATATGACCATATGGGATTGGGGGCCAATTTCCAAGAGGGTGTCAGGGACGAAGATTTATTTTGAAATAAAATACAAGCGCTCGCTATGCCTCTACAGGTAGTAAAGGTTAGTTTGAGTTAAAGGTAGTTTGAGTTAATATATATATTTGTTCCAATATGTACTTGAATGGTAATCATCCATATATAACAATATATTCAGGGAAAAGGATTTGCTGAGTTATCGCTGGAACGAACCGGAAGTGTGGACATGTCGGCAGGCTGGTCCAGTACTTCTGGTGTCTTCAGTTCCGGTCCTGATGTAAGTACACGACAGGTCATCTGGTAATTACTTGGTCAGCAATGATTGAAGTTATTGAGAAATTAGCCAGAAGAAAATAGTACTATTGGCGGATCCCCGGTATCAAGAATGCGGCACAGCGCCGCAGCATGTTTACCATGAAATGTTTACAAATGGTGCATATTTTTAAAAACATTTTTTATGTGATGCATATGAAACATGCTCAGGATGTATTCCTGCTTATGAGTAGACTATATAGGGAAGGGTCCGTTACGTATTATTGATTTTGGAACGATCATGTCTTCTGCCATGTAAAATATACTGAATGTTGATCTTTATTTAATTATTTGTTTTATTTAGTAGCTATACGAGGAATACAATTTTTTCACACTGATCAAATTGTACATCCCGGTGGTCTTGCAACTTTTTTCACACTGACCAAATTCTACATTTCTGTATTCAGTGTTACTTCCAGAATGTGCCAAAAAAAACCAAGATTTAAAACTTAAAAAAAACTTCATAAGTTCAGTCAATGTCAGCAGTTTGATAAATTTCACCTTCATCTAAAATTTTTCTCTCAGTTCACGCTAAGCTCCCCGGCTCCGAAATTGAGCGGTGGCCTAACACGTGACCAAACGTTTGCGTCAGCAACGCTTACTGTTACCCCCGCCCTGAAGGTGCACGTCCCGAACCTGAAAACCATTGCTAGATTTCTTCGAGCTGCTGGATGGTGGATTCGAAAAGTTCTGAGGAAACTCTTCAAAGTTGAAAATCAACGTAAGAATGTTATGTTTGATTTTTCTTTCTTTTTTTTTTTACATCTTTTTGTGAAAACTTTATGCGTGTTTTGTATTTAAATGGGCAGCATGCTTACCAAGAAAGCAGTGTGATACAGCAAGATTCCAGTTGATCCGGTTTGCTTTGGGTGGGGTCATTTAAACGAGATCCAAATTGGGCCGTCTGTAGCATTTACGGTACATGCACCCAGACTTCCACATCTAAGCAAACAGAAAAGCAGTAGTAATGTTCTCGATTGATAGATCCCGCTTTATTTTAAATTCGCGTGTGAAATACTTTTTAATCATAATATTATTTCAGAAGTTTTGAAAGTATACTTTCATTTCACTCCATCAATTTTTTATTTTGCTTAACTCGTGGCTAACAGGCTTAGTAAATCCCTTCTTTTTCTTCCAAAATATTGGGAGCTTTGGGACTGCGTTGGTGTCGTTGATATAAGCACGTCAACACTTACGTGTTCATTCACATGAAGATGTGAATTTTACAGGTAGGATTCAACCCATACTAGAGTTTGTGGTATCGGCTCCGCTTGTCGGACGTGCGAAAGTAACTGCTTGTCCAAATGACTGCGACCCACCACAGGACAAACTCAAAGTGGAAGGACATGCGGGGTTACCCGAGAGCATTGACGGGGACCTTACGGTTAAAGTTCCACTTACAAGTATCTCTAAAACATGGAAAGTGTTTAGCATACCTGGAAAACATTACGATGGAAAGTGAGTGGCCTCTTAGAAATGTCTTTTTGTTATTAATTGATATACCGGTGTGACAGGAACGGTAGTCCACCAGGAACCGTAGTCTTTGTACAGGTGGCATCCGTCCCATGTACTAACCCCAATACTACGACGACTATCCTTGACCTGGCCCCCGTTTCACAAAGAATCTTAAATCCGTAGACGTCTTACTCGAGCTGGGTGGCCTAGCTAGGTCGACTTAGCTGAAGTCGACTTGGAGTGTTTCACAAAGAATCTAACGTCTTAGCTTGGCGTGCTTACCGTAGTCGACGCGCACGAGAAACTCTTCAAGAAAAGGAGGTGTAAAATTGCAAAAGTTTCACAAGACATGACGTTTCATGGCCTCTTTCGGCCGAGAACGATCGTTTATCAACGATAAAAGTCAGCCAAAACACAAACAAAGTTTGTTTTTGAACTTTATTGATTAGTTTAACTTCAATACAACTTCAAAG